GAACTTTAGTTAAATCACTCTGTGTGGGACTTTGTCAGTTTGCTTGATTTTCTTGGATTTCTGATCTCTGCTTGTCCTGACTACGGTTTGTTAGCTGCCTGTACTGACCTGTTGGCTTGTTTTACCAACTACTCTAATCATAGGGTTAATGCTGTGATTATCACGGAAGGAGTTAATAAAAATTGCTTTCAAAAAACAAAAACAACTTCTCAAACATTTCACACAGTAACCCTGTGTGATATGAAAGATCTCTCTTCATTTTTAGTAGATGAGTTATTTTGAGGGGACAGCAAATTGACATTGTTATACAGTATGTACACTTACTACTTTACATTGTAGCGTCATTTCTTCAGTGTTGTCACATGAAAAGAAAAAAAAATTACAAAAATGTGAGGGGTGTGCTCACTTTTGTGAGATACGATATATAGTTATATATCTGAAAAGAGACTTGCACTCATCAAGTTCAGCCTCTCACATTTGTTTTTTGCAGTTGATCCAAAAGAAGGCAAAAATCCCAGTTTGAAGCAATGCTTCAGAAGCTTTGTTGGTATATGCATTGTTTGTCTATCTCCTTATTTAGGTCTGACATAGTCAGTGCTGTAGGGGACTTCCACGTTCTCATCTTTGTGCCTTTAATAGGATATGAAATATGAGTTTTTGTTTGTGTTTTTAGGGACAAAGTCCGGCATGCATAGGAGTAGGAACGTTATAGGCCATGGGGCAGTGCCTGTTCCGTCACTGTTAAGATTAGTTTATTTTCCGGTCTCCAATAAGTGGTTATCTGTGTGCATTGCCACCACACGTGCAACATATCTTCTGCTTTTTGGTGGCATTCCCAGCACAGTGTGTAGGTAAAGCTTATGGAATCTAGTTAGCACCATATACCAACAATATAAATTTTCAATTCTGTTCAATTAGCATGGCCAATTTAATAAGGTGTTTAGGTGCATTTATCATAGATTCCCATTGTTTCAGGGTAATCTCGCTATCTAGATCCTCCGCCCACTGAAGTGCAGGTCCTAATCCTGTGAGAGGGGTCTGTTCAGAGAGTATTTTGTAGCACATGGCGATCAGCTTACACAATAGAGGCAGAGACTCGTTTATACAGATTTGTTCCCAGGCGGTTACATGATACATTTACCGGAGGGCATTATCTTGCATAAATACAGGTCGGGGAAATTATTTTAGTTGTATGTAGGAGAAGTTTTAGGTTTGTTGAGGTTTGGGGGAGGGCGTATGTGAAGGACATAGTAAAAAAATCAATCAGACCTGTTGGGGGAAAGAGATGGTAGAGGTGGGTAACTCCAGCTTCCTACCACGGTTTAGCGTCGAACATGAGTACACAGTAAACCAATGCCAGGGTTGGGGTTGCTAATGATATGGGACCAAGTCCACTCAGTTTGTGCCTATTCAAATCGTATACGTTTAGAACTAGTTTAGTTTGTTAGTGTGTGTGAGAATGCCATGGCACCTGACTTGGCTGAAGCTTGCATCAGTCCACGGCCACTGTAGGTCTTCCCCCCCCCACCCAGACAAAGTTTATTAATAGATTTGAAAAATGTACGGGGCAATTGTAGTGGTAGTGTGCAAAAGATATTGGAGTATGGGAAGTATAGACATTTTAATTGCTACGATGCATTCAGTCAATGTTAATAACATCTGCATCCACTTTTTTTTTTTTTTAACGTAGTGATGTACAGTCGCTCCATACCTTAACATAATTTGCAGCATAGAGGTCTACTGGGTTTTTGGTTAATGTTAGTCCTAGGTATTTAATGTTGTCAGATCGCCGTTCAAAGTCAATTGTGTGTTGAAGATGGGTAAGAGTGGTTCCTGGGATACCACTGCTTAATTCCTGCATTTTTCTAGTGTTAGTGGAATAGCAGGATACCTGTCTGTAGTCCCGTATGAGCTTGAGTAAGGGTGGTAGTGTTTCCCTTGGTTTGGTAACATAGCAGAATATATGTATAGGAGCGGTGACAGGGGACAGCCCTGGCGTGTTCTGTTCATGATCTTGAAGGGAGAGAAGAGAAAGACGGTATTTTGCAGTATTTGTGTGGAAGAGCAAGAATAAAGTGCAAATAGTTGTTTAGTAACTTGGAGGCAAAGGGGGGGGAGGACTGTAAGAGTTTAATACCCATTCAAGGAAGCTCCAACCGAGGTGGTCAAATACTTTCCCAGCGTCGAACGCTAAGAGTAAACCACCCTGGCCGGACCGCCAAAATGGTTTCATCACCATTCATAGTTTGCGTGCGTTATCCTGCACCTGTCTCCCGGAGATAAAACCCATTTAGTCATCTGTAATAACAGCCTGTTAGCAAGTATCTTGTAAGAGTTAGGAAGGCCATACGCACCTGGCGATTTCACTGGCGGCGGTTTCCTAATTGTAGCTAGCACTTCTTGTAGCGTTATTGGGCTCGATAAGGCCTCTATGTGTTGTCATATAATCTGGGGAAGGCTAATGTGTGCAAGATAATCTATTTACGGTCTGTTCGGGGGGTGAGTTTGTGTACGTTATAAAGGTTAGAATAGAATTTAGCAAATTCGTCACATCTCTTGTGGGTTTAATTTCTTAGTACCATCTTCACCCGTAAGGCATGAAATTCTAGAGTCTGAAAATTTCATTTTAAATCTGTCTATTTGCCAGAGCTTTATTAATGTTACCACTAGAGTGGTATGTGTGAGCATGCAATTTATGAAGAAAGTAGTTGGTTCTGGTGGCATTAATCTCAGTGAGCTAGTTCCGAGGTGGGACTAGTTTTTTTGGGGGGGGGCCAAGGTCAGGGCAAAAGTTTATGGCAATTAATGTCGTTTGTGGTTTATTTTTAAGGTATATAGCATGTCGTATGAACACTAATTACTGCTTTGTGAGCAGGCCACACTGTAAAGTCCGATACCCCCCTCCGCATTATTAGTGAAATATTCCGTCAATTCCTGGTGTATGGATTTAGCAAAAGAGTCTTCGAGAAGGTGCGACTCATTGAGGCGCCAAGTTCCCCTTCCCTTCAGTTAGAACAAATCCATTAGTTCCAGGTATGCTGGATTATTGTCTGACCAGGTGATATGGTGTAACAAAAATGCATCTATTCGGGTGTAAACACTATGGACTCTTGAGTAGAAAGTATAGTCACGCTCTAGGGGGTGTAGTGTTTGCCATCTGTCATTTAAGTTGTGAAATGAGAGCAGTTTGGTAATATTTTTGCAAGTGGAAACAAGTTATTTTTCCGTCTTCCCATGTGGGTAGTGGTTGTGTCAAGCAGGGGGGGGAGGGGAATCAGATAAATTTAAAAACTCTCCACACAAGATTAGCCTTCTTTGTTTATATCTGTCAATTTTATGCAGTCAGGACTGAAGGTAGTTCCTTGAGTCCGTATTTGAGAAATAGGCAGAGACAAACGTATTTTGGACGTAGTTAAAAAGGCCGATCAGTATAATAAATCAACCATGGGGGTCGACACTGTCTGTGGAGGCCAAAGGCTGTGTCCTTGTGTATAAAGATAAATACGCCTTTTGTTTTACTATCAAATAAAGCGTAATATTGTGTTAAGAAATGTTTGATGAAGATGGCAGGTGTGTGTGCTTTGTTAAAATGCATTTCGTATATGCATGCCACGTCGACCCTGTGTTTTCTAAGGCCCTAAAAGAGTAGTCTCCTTTTTCCTGGGGAATTTAACCCTTTCACATTAAAAGGACATTAACTTCAGTTATTTGGAGTGAGTAATATGCTTAACCCTGAAACATTTCGAAACATACAGTCACAAAGGTCTGGGTTTGTATCATAGCTCTTCGTGTAAAGAGAGCCATATAGGCAGAAGCACAATTCACAAGTTTTTCATAGAAGTCAGCACTCGTGCCAAAATGGGAATCATGCTGATAGTGTACATAATAAGAAGTGTTCATGGAAAGTGGGGGAGGGGAAGAGAGTAGGGGGGTGGAAACAAAACCAAGACAACAACACTGTAACCTGTCTCCCTACATAGGAGATTCGGACACAGGTGGTGGGGGTAGTGGTATAGGAGCACTCAGTTTCCTAGAGTTACTCACCAAAAGCACTAAGCGAGTAGCTAATGAATTGCGTCAGGTATTTAATGGTTTAAAGGGTCAGTATTTTTTCTGGGACGTATAAAACTGGTTTGTCTTAGCAACTGCGGTGTCCGCCAATATATTCTATACCTCGAGCATGAAACTAGTACGAAAGAAACTGATGAAATAAGTCACTATCCATTTGCTAATTAGGCAGTGTTGGATTCTAATCTATATTGACTTTACACATCCTAAATATAATGTCACCTGTAATACTAGGTACGAGAGTCTGATCAATATGGGTAATTAGAAGAACTAAGTAGTGCCCCTAAGCAGTTGTACCTTAGTACTAACAAACAGAACAGTAGCATAAAGTGTACATAAAACTAGCAGGTGGTTATATGGGCTAAAGTCACTTGCGTTGCTAGTCAGGAGACATCTGCGGAATCTTAGCTGGTACGTTTGATGACAGAATCCAGTCGTGCAGTTTCTGTTTTCCAGCTTCTAAGGATGTTGCTGAGTGCATGATACTTTGGTGGTGTATTAACAGCTTTGCATGGTATACCTATCTGTAATTTATTTTAGGTTGCCGGAGGGTTGACCTATTAGGAGCCAAAGCCGTCCTAAATTGCAGCCTTGCGGCTGAGATGTCAGCCAAGATCTTAATATTTTGATAGGGCATGTTTGTGGTCCTGCAGGCTTTTGCTATGCATTCCTTCACATGAAAGAAATGGACCCTCGTGATAATATCCCTCGCGGTTATTGCAGGTAAGTGCTTGAGTCTTTTGAGCCTGTGTGCTCGATCCACAAGAAGCTGGTCAGGATGCACTGCAGGCGTGATTTTCTGGAACATGTCCAGGAGGTAGGATTGCAGGTCGGTATTAGCTACCAGTTTCTGGAATGCCGCGGATGCGCAAGTTTTTCCTTTGCGACCTGTCCTCCAGATCCGCTAGTTTTAGCTTTTGTGCTGCAATGATTTAGTCTAGCTCTTGTAATTTGTCCGCCAGGCTGTTGTGAGCCATGGTGAACTTATCCATTTTCTGTTCCATGTGAGCACTTCTCAGGCCTGCATCTTGCATTTCTTTCTGTAGTTCAGCAGCCAGTGTTTGAATGAGACAGGATATGTTGGTCTCTTTAGAGCTGGAAAATTCAGCCATCATATCGCTCATAGTAATCGTGTCGTCCTTTGCGAGTGAGCCTGGGGAGGCGGGAGGTGAAAGAGAGCTCTCCCCTCTCCTCAATGCTCACCGCCATCTTGAGAGGGTTCAGGGCCTCTGCGGGCTTTCAAAGCTGTCACTTTAGCGAGGAAGAACGAGGCTCTGTCTGCTTTGGTGGTCTTCGCCTTCATGCAGGTTTTGATCAATGAATTTGATGGGTCTATGTCTCATTTTTGGGCATTGTAGCAGTTTGACAGTTAAAATTACCCCAAAAATGCATACCATTTGTGAAAGTAGACACCACGGGATATGGCATTTGGTATATTTTGAGTCTTATTATACAGCCATTTAAGCACCGATTTCTTTAAATTGTGTTATTTCTTTTTTGTACACACACATTGCACTTTAGTGGTTTATTTTGGAAACTTAATATATGCTATTGTAATAAAAAAAAAACCAAACAAACAAAAAAAAAAAAAACTAAATTATTCTGAGCTATATTTCCAGGAGTACAGAATGAACCCCTTTACATTATGGGACATTTTAGTAGCTCATCTATCTAAATTATGCTATTAATACATACCATTTACAAATGTGGACACAATGGGTACTCTCAGATAATATATGAGATTTATTGACGTGACTTTTTTTTACCATTTTTGTTTTTCAATTTTTCATACACATATTTTGGATGCTTATTTTAGAAAGTTTGTGTGTCCCACTGTAAAAAAATTACTGTATTGTACTCATCAACATCTCCTGATATCTTTGGAAAGTAGTGATCTTAAAGGACCACTCTAGGCACCCAGACCACTTCAGCTTAATGAAGTGGTCTGGGTGCCTGGTCCAGCTAAGGTTAACCTTTTTTTTTTTTATAAACATTTTTATAACTGCTATGTTTATAAATAGGTAGTGATGTCCCGAACGGTTCGCTGGCGAATAGTTCCTGGCGAACATCACTTGTTCGCATTCGCCACGGATGGCGAACATATGCGCTGTTCGGTCCGCCCCCTATTCGTCATCATTTAGTAAACTTTGACCCTGTACCTCACAGTCAGCAGACACATTCCAGCCAATCAGCAGCAGACCCTCCCTCCCAGATCCTCCTACCTCCTGGACATCATCCATTTTACATTCATTGTGAATCTGCATTCTTAGTGAGAGGAGGGACAGTGTAGCTGCTGCTGATTTGATAGGGAAATTGATAGCTAGGCTAGTGTATTCAGTGTCCACTACAGTCCTGAAGGACTCATCTGATGTCTCTGACCTCACTACCCCCCACACCACCCCCAGCCTCACAACCCAACACCACCCTCAGGCTCACTACCCCCACACCCTCAGCATCACCACCACCCACACCACCCTCAGTATTTCCACCCTCAGCCTCACTACCCCCCACACCCCTGCCTCACTGCCCCCCACCACCCTCAGCATCACTTACCCTCAGCATCCCCACCACCCAGCCTCACTACCTCCACACACCCAGCCGCCCTCAGCCTCACTACCACACACCCTCAGCATCACCACCACCCACACCACCCTCACCACCCCTCAGCCTCACTACCCCCCCACACCACCCCCAGCCTCCACTACCCCCCACCCCGCCACCCTCACCACCCCAGCATCCCCCACCCCTCAGCCTCACTGCCTCCACACCACCCAACACCACCCTCAGCCTCACTACCCACACACCCAGCATCACCACCACCCACCACCCTCAGTATTTCCACCCTCAGCCTCACTACCCCCACACTGCCCCCCAGCCTCACTACCCCTACACCCACCCCTCGCCTCACTGCCCCCACCCAGACTCGCATCCCCACCCTCAGCATCCCCACCCCCCAGCCTCACTACACCCTCACACCACCCTCAGCATCCCCACCCTCACTACCCCCACCCTCACCACCTCCCGCTCACACCCCCACACCACCCTCAGCCTGCACCACACCCTCAGCATCACCACCCCAGCCACCACCCTCAGCATCACCACCCCAGCCGCCTCAGTCTCACCACCCACAGCCTCACTGCCCCCCACCCTTCAGCCTCACTACCCCTACCACCCTCAGCATCACCACCCCCCACACCACCACTACCCCCACCTCCCTCAGCATCACCCACCCCCCACCACCCTCAGCCTCATCCCCACCCTCACCACCTTCAGCCTCACCACCCCTCACACACTCAGCCTCACTACACAACCCTCAGCCTCACTTTACCCCCACCACCCTCAGCATCACTACCCCAGCCTCACTACCCCCACACCACCCCCACTACCCCCTACACCCTCAGCATCACTACCCCCCACCCTTCAGCCTCACTCCCCCCACCACCTCAGCCCTCACCACCCCCACCAACCTCAGCCCCACTCCCCCCACACCCACCCTCAGCATCACTACTTCCCCAGCCTCACTCCCCCCACACCACCCCCCCTGCCCCCCCCCACCCCTTCAGCCTCACTGCCCCCCCCACCCTCAGCCTCACTACCCCACCCCAGCCTTAGCCCCCCACCGCCTCACCTCCACCCCCCACCCCCCCACCTCACCCCCCCACCACCTCAGCCTCCTCTTCACCACCCTCAGCTCACCACCCCCCACACCACCCCAGCATCACTGCCCCCACCGCCCACCCTCACCCACCCCACATCACTGCCCTCCTTACCCCCCACACCCCTCCAGCGTCCCACCACCCCCCCAGCTCACTGATGCTTTGATACTACCCCCCTACACCACCTCAGCATACTACCCCACCACCACCCTGCATCACTACGCATCACACACCATTGCTTAAAATGGCTCCCCTCAGCATCACCACCCCCCACACCATGATGCCCCAGACTTAAAATGGCCACCACACTGCCTCTCCGCCACGTGGCAAGCTGAGCAACGCAGGCAACCAGCTAAGGGTCTTGCCTGCCCAAACTAGGGACTTGACACCCTACATTTCTAGCTCTCGATCTCCAGCAGACCACTCACAACCCTCATCAAGGCTGGGAAAGGCAAAGGCAGCCGGCGGGCAGGAAATGAGACGGGGGACATTACACTACCAGCAATTACTCAGCCTCATAGAGACAATCAACCACTTGCCTCACGAGGAATCTTGAGCCCAGCGGACACTCTCTCCACTTACAGTAGCCCGACAGAGCAAGACCTGAGGAATGGGGGGGACTCGTCTGCGTGGACCCGGTGGAAGTTAAAAAGCTTGCATATTTCACTCACATGCTTATAACACGTTATAAATGTTATAGTTGCTTTATGATTCTGTCAAGCATGACATATTAAGTCACTAAATAGTGTATTGCACCTCCAAGTATACATTGAGATACGCCCTGCAACAATAAGAGGCACATAACATACACCCTTTAACTTAAATGATCCCACGCAGACCACACACAGGCAAACAAAGTCTTATTTACTGTACCTGTATGGCTGATGTGCTCTGTTGTACCAACCACCAGGGCTACTAATTTATCTAGGATACCTACTATGTTTATGTTTTTCAGCCACATTATTTTAAATTGGAATTGTGAGTCTAGGTTTGCGACATCATTCTGCTGTATCATTAGCGCTAGTGCTCCGGATTTGTCTTCTAATGTTTCACTTTATCAGGCAGAATATTGATAGCACAAAATCCAAGGTTTCCAGGGTGCCATGTTGCATTAGTGACTCAAATAGACCTGGGGCTAAATTATTTGTGTCCCTGCATATCACTGATAAATGCTAAGTGTAGAACTCATACTAAAGAGAGAAATGAAATACTTAATTGGGAAATAATTGAAACCTCTGATGTAATTTGGCTTGCTTAAAAGCTTTGTGTGTGAGGAGTGTTCTCTTGTTTCATTTTACCAAAAGTGCAGATTTCACTTGACTTTTAAGCAGACAAGTCATGTTGCTTCCCGATCTGGTTAGCTCAGGGTAGGTAAACTCAGAAGTCAACAATTCCCCAAAGGAATTGCCTTCTCATTGAGCTGAATTGGGAAGTCTGATATTGGAGAGCAACAGAAACTCTGGGTGGCGTTTGATGGGGAGGACTTGCAAAGGCAGCAGATAAAAGATCTGTAGGTTTTGCAAGCTGTTTTTAGATACACAGCCAATGGAAAAATGCACAATTAAATATATAGACACATTTTCATTTGGGGTATATCTACTAAACAGTGATATTTATTTTGTATCTGGATATTGGACTGTCCCTTTAAACTATGAATTTGAGCTGTAGCTCTCTGCTAGTCCTTCCCTGCTTGGCGCTGATTGCTTGTATATTTGATATCCTAATGGCAGCAGGGAGTGAAAGTGCAGTGATAGGGTCTAAATTCCTGCACAAGGTAGCACAGCAGCACAATAACTTAGCAGCTGCCTGCAGGTATATAGGTTGGACATTTGAAAACCAAGCCTGGATTTTAAACATATTAGACCAGATTTCAGCCATCTGGCAGCATTGGGCTGAAATGTTAATACAATCATGGGTATTTTGGAGCCAGCACTGCAAAATCTGTGAACGCAGTGATTTTGCTGTCCGAATGGCCCTATGTGCAACCAAATGTTTTTTTCCCCAGTCAGTAAATAGTCATTTGGACTTTAACAGACCTGAATGTGTCATCAGAAAGGATAACTTTAGCATCCCAGGGAATACTTTAAAGGAAAACTATAGTGTCAAAAATACACATTTTAATGATTAGCTCTGTTTGTTAAAGCATTTAGATTTCAGTGCCCCCTAAAAAAAAATAAAAAATAAATAAAAATAGTGTATATATTTATTTGTGCTCGGAATTTAATACGTAATGGATAGTATCTGAAAGGGCAAAGTTGGTTGTGGTGTGCCGAAACCAACGTACGAGTGGGCCTGTAAATAAAAGAGGGCCCACCAAGGAGAATGTAATGATAACAGGGTGTAGGTGGGTGGGGACAATCAACTGAACCGGCAGAGGTGAGTAGGGGCTGGGAGTTTAAGTAGGGGACTTACTCCTCCCACAAATTCAGGCCTAATGGCCTTTCTACTTGTGCTCGGAATTTAATACGTAATGGATAGTATCTGAAAGGGCAAAGTTGGTTGTGGTGTGCCGAAACCAACGTACGAGTGGGCCTGTAAATAAAAGAGGGCAAAAGAGAAGTTCGAGAAAATACACACTTTATTGCCTTTTTTACATTACCAAGTTCCTGAAAGCTTGACGAAGCTCTTTTTCTGGTCGCGGTATATA